CTCACCAGATCTTCCAGAAGATTGAGGACTCGCTCCATTTGTTGCTGGAGTTCAGTTATGGCACGATCTTACCTTTTCGTTGTGTGCCTATTCCAAAGTCAAGCATCTTTGAACCAAATCATCCATTTTCAATATGAGATGGATAACAGAAAGAATCACTCAAAACAAGTCCATCCTTGAGCTCTGATACCAATTTGATGTGTGTGTTGGACTAGTGATTCTAGAATTGGGAATTTGCCTTGTTAAGCGTATGGATGGGTGTATTGAGATGGATTGGATAAGCAAGGTTCACCACCAAAGCATGAAGGCACAAGCTACCAGCCAAGGATAAAGAACCGGGATAATAACAGCTCACCGCAAAGGCGTAAAGGATTGCTCCACTGGCCAAGGATAAATAATTGTTTGATTCGGCACCGAGGAACCTGTAAAACGAATGAGATAGAAATTCAAAGAGGATTCTTATATAATGATCAAAATGTCTGCATTACAATTGAGAACTCTCCTCTATTTATAGATGAATTAAAACATAGGAAATAGACAAACATTAAAGACATGGGACTACCCAAATATTAAAGACATGGGAATTCAGAAAGCAGTTAAAGTCCTAGGAAATAGAACCTTGACTCTTGAAAACTGCATCACAATTAAGACTCATAAAACTTGGCCTTGAAATTTGTTCACCGGCCTTGACCAAAATATAACTATCTTGAAAGATCAACAAATATCCAAGGAAATCGCTCAGAATAGCTTCTCATCGATATATCTTTGAAATCGTCAACTAGTCTGGTGAATCGGTACTGGATCGGCAAGGGACGAATCGACAACTCTTTAATTGATATATTGGTCAATAGCCTCTACGTCGATATCTTCATTCTTGACCCATCGAAGCAAGTTGTGACCAAAATTTATTTTTGCTTGGATGAAAACCGATTGCGCATGGCCAGTCGATGGAACAAGGTTGGAACTAAAGGTTTGTTCCATAAAATCAGGTGCTCCCGCATCATGATATCACTTAATTAGAGCAATATCTCTTCTTAACACCATTATATAAGTATACATTTTGAAATGGATAGGATGAGATAATGATAACAATATCATTAAAGTTTGCACAAAACATACCATTAAGTATTTTGTCATTTCCGTTTGTTTCCGATGAATAGAAAGTTTACGTGGCAAACCCTTTTACTAATTTTTCCATCCTATGTAGCATCACATCAAAAAAGGATTGAAAAATTAAACATAACAGGCTAAAAGTTTAAAGGAAAAAAGTAGAGATAGAGAGAGATCGTAGGGGTGACGATATCTTGGGGTGATCGGTTTTAAGATGGGTGGATTCTCCACCTAGAATTGGGAACCGACCTTGTGACCCTCAGTTTTAGTTCGAATACTAGTTCTAAGAACAGGCCCATTTTATGTTTCGAGTAAAAAACCAAATTGTTATAAAAAAATAATGAAAGTTGCACCATTTCACTATAAAAAAACAGGTTCGTTGGTTAAGAAATTATGTTGTTATTTGTTAACGTTGAAGACCGTAGTTCAATTCTTGGGTAAAAGTATTTATAGGTTTCTAAAAGGGGCTTTAAAATCGGTTTGAACTGTATCAACTTGAGAACCGGGCTGGTTGAATCGGTTCTAGATTCGTGGAACTGAAACCGAACTGATTCTTCCTAGAATCAGCCCTGAACCAATTAGTTTAGGCCGATCCGATCCTATGCTAGGATTAATTCGGACCCGATTCCAGGATTAATTCGGACACTAGGCATATGGGGTTGTGGCTGATGTGACCCACAATTTTTGGGTCTTTCCTCTCTTTTTTTTTTCTTGAGTCCCTATTTTCTGGAGATAACATTTGCGCATGCTTTTATCTTCTTATTGGTCAATTCCATTCCCATTTGCCAGAATTTGATTTTGCCACCACCTCCAATGGCAGGTCAAAAAGAGTCGACAACTCCCCCAGGGTTGAAACGCTTGACGTTAAAGCGCACGACCAAGAAGAAGGTAGGCTATATTGAAAAGGGTTAATACCATGAAAAACCCTAAACTTGTACACTTATGACACATTTACCCCAAACTATTTTTTTGACCATAAAAAACCCCAAACTGATACACCTGTGACAATTTCACCCCGAACATACCACAAAAAACCCCAAACTGGTACACATGTGACAATTTTACCCCAACTAATTTTTAATATTATTTTTTTGAATTTTTTCTTTTTTCTTTTCTTTTCTTTTCTTTTTTTTTTCTTCACTTCAACCTCTGGCCGGTCGCCTGTTCGGCGACCGGCCAGAGGCGGAAGCCGGCGAGGGCCGCCCTCGGTAGCCAGCGGCGAGGCCGCCCTCGCTCAACTCGGCAAGGGCGACCCTCGCCGGATCTAGCGAGGCGGCCCTCGCCGGCGTCGGCGGCCCTCGTCCGGCTCGGGCGAGGTGTCTCGCCCGCCTAGGCGAGGTGCCTCGCCGGAAGCCGAGGGCGGACCCTCGCCCGCGTAGGCGAGGTCGCCCTCGCTGAGTCGGGCGGCCAGACCCTCGCCTACGTCGGGCGAGGCGCCCTTACAGGCGGGTGAGGACAGCCTCGCCCGACGCCGGTGAGGGCAACCCTCGCCCGACGCAGGCGAGGGTCGCCCTCGCCTGAGTCGGGCGAGGATCGCTCTTGCCTTGGGCAAGCGAGGACAGCCCTCACTAGACGCCGGCGAGGGCGGCCCTCGCCCGACGCCGGCGAGGGCGACCCTCGCCGGCTTCCGCCTCTGGCCGGTCGCCGGACCGGCGACCGGCCAGAGGTTGAAGATAAAAAAAAAATAATAAAAGGAAAAAAATAAAAATAATAAATAAATATTCGAAAAAAATAAAAAAATATTAAAATTTTAATTCGGGGTAAAATTGTCACATACTGTCTGATTTGGGGTTTTTGTGGTAAGTTCAGTAAAATTGTCACGAGATGTCCGATTTGGGGTTTTTGATGGTCAAAAAATAGTTCGAGTAAAATTGTCGCAGTGTACCGGTTTGGGGTTTTTATGGTCAAAAAAAATAGTTTGGGATAAATGTGTCATAAGTGTACCAGTTTAGGGTTTTTCGTGGTATTAACCCTATTGAAAATGACTACAAGTGGAGAACCAGATGCTTATGGAAGTCTGCTAAGATGAAAACCCGAAAGTTGTTGGTTGAGAGGATTCGAGTTCGATTCTTTCCGTTGCTGATTTTATCGTTCATTCTCCAAAGCCTTAATTTTACCGTTTTCTTTTTTCTTTTCGCCAGAATATGCAATCTTTCTTTTTATCTTACTGCGCGTGTACAACATTAAATAAATATATAAAAGGAAAAAGAAATAGATTGAGGTTGTCTCAAAAATGAAAAAAAGTTGGTTATTTTTCGGTGAACGATTACGGAGAGAGCCGCGAGTGTAGAACTAATGCAAGTGGGCTTTTTTAGTTTTTTTTTTTACCGAATCCCAGTTTTTCGTATTTTTATTTCTTTCAAAAAGATTCTTAAATTAATTATAGGATGCATCTAAGTTTGGCTTTTTCTTTCTCATTTTTCATTACTTTGTCTTTCTTATCTCCATTTTTATTGAGTTAATTTAGGGTTAATACCACGAAAAATCCTAAACTGGTACACTTGTGACACATTTACCCCAAACTATTTTTTTGACCACAAAAAACCCCAAACTGGTACACCTGTGACAATTTTACCCCGAACTATTTTTTTGACCACCAAAAACCCCAAACTGGTACACTTGTAACAATTTTACCCTTAACTTACCACAAAAAACCCCAAACTGGTACATATGTGATAATTTTACCCTGAATTAAAATTTTCATATTATTTTTTATTTTTTCGAATTGTTATTAAAACTACAGTGCAAACACAGGTCAATGAAAAGCCTGCTGATGACTTCGTCTATTTACCGGGAGAAAAAATAAGAAGAGACAAATTAATAGTCTCTTGAACTTTTTCCTATTATAAAAAAAAAATCACTACACAATCAGGCCGTAGGCTTTGGTGCATACCCAAACTTCAACTTTGGTAAACAAATTTGTTCTATCGATAGACAATAGTTTTAGTCTCATGACATGTGTGAAGTGTATTTAATTGGAGCAAATTTGATTTAGGGTTAATACCACGAAAAACTCCAAACTGGTACACATATGATAAATTTATCCAAAACTAATTTTTTGACCATTAAAAACCTCAAACTGATACACCTGTAATAAATTTACTCCAAACTAATTTTTTGACAACGAAAAACCCAAACTGGTACACCTGTGACAAATTTACCCTTCGTTACCTTCCGTTAAATTTTACCATTAAATTTGCTAATATGGATGACACATGGTGATGTAGTATGTTGACGTGGCAAGTTCACGTGAAAATTCATAAGGTCCAAGAAAAATTTCAAATTGGTCCGCTAATGAAAGGTAAATTTATCACAAAATTACCAATTTAGGATTTTTAGTGGTCAAAAAATTAATTTGAGATAAATTTATTATAGGTATATCGTTTTGAGTTTTTTGTGGTATTAATATTTGATTCATGTTTCCAGAAAAAAAAAAAACCTTTGATTTATGTATATTTTCTATTCGCGTGAACAGAAGTGTGTTACTGTCGTGGAGGTACACGTGGAGGTATACTAACGGTGTTCGTCTACCGTAAATAAAAAATTAAAAGGGAAAGATTCCATCATGTGCATGGTCCGACTTTTGAAATCCGAAACCACCGCGCAATGTGCGTCAGTTCGACACGTGTCCTCGAATCTGCCACCAGACTAGCGTCCACATTTTTAAAGCAAAACAGGGCCAACCTGCTTTGCTTTTTGACCCACGGGGGCCTTTGGGTCTTTCCCTCCCGCAGTTTTTCTGGACCCCACGCGTCCTCCGCACCACGTGACATTTGCACGTGCTTATCTTCTCATTGGTCGATTCCCATTCCCACTTGCCATAATTTAGATTTCCTCATATAAACGTAGTAACAGACGAGGCATGAAACCCTTTAAGTTGACCACACAAACCAGAAGAAGGTAGGCTATATTGAAAATGGCGGAAGCGGTGCTCTTCAACCTCGCCACGGACGTACTGGAACTGGCCAGTTCCATCATCGCTTCGGAGATCCAGCTTGGAGGTGGAGCGAGAGATGAGCTCGTACGTCTTAGGCAGACCGTTGAAAAGATCCGAGCTGTGCTTTTGGATGCCGAGAAGGAGCAATGGCACGACGCCCGGGTGAAGCTCTGGCTCAGTAGGCTCAAGGACGTGCTGTACGACGTACAGGACTTGCTTGACGATGTCGTAACACAAAATCTAAGGGGAAAAGTCAATTCCGGCGACAAGATGTCGAAAAAGGTAAGTGTTTTCTTGTCCAAATCAACACACCGCCTCAAAGTGGCTAATAAGATTAAGGAAATTAGGAAGAGACTGGATCAGATTGCAAATGAGAAGGACTTCTTCCATTTAGAGCCGCATCTGAGTGAGTCAACTATTGCTACTGTGAGGAGGAGGATGACTCACTCTTTTGTGCGCCAGGAAGAAATTATCGGTAGAGAAGAGGATAAGAAGGAGATCATCGCCTATTTGTTTGATTCCTCCTCCGGAGAGAGTGTTTCGGTTGTTTCCATCGTCGGTATAGGAGGAATTGGAAAAACAGCGGTTGCTAAGCTGGTATACAACGACGACAAGGTGAATGACTGTTTCAAGCTTAAGATATGGGTGTGTGTATCTGACGTCTTTGATGAGGATTTGATCATCAAAGGAATACTGAAATCTGCCCCTGCCCTCGATGAGTTTCAAGAGGATCCTGAGATGATGAGAAATCTTCAAGACATCGAGAATAAATCTAAGGACCAGTTGCAGAGTCTCCTTCGTAAGGTACTAGATGGGAATAAATACTTGCTTGTTTTGGATGACTTATGGAATGAAGATCGCCAGAGATGGTTAGAGCTCCGACATTTGCTAATGGGTGGTTCATGGGGAAGCAAGATACTTGTAACCACTCGTAGCCACAAAGTTGCAAAGGTCACTAATGCGAATTCAGTTATCCATGTTCTACGTGGCTTATCTGAAGATAAGTCCTGGAACTTATTCAGGAAAATGGCTTTTAGAGATTGGACAGAATCATTAGACCCGGAACTGGAGGAGATGGGTCGAGATATAGTTACAAAATGCACTGGGGTTCCCCTTGCCATTAGAACTATGGGATACCTTTTGTACGGCAAAAAGAAGGATATATGGCTTCGTTTCAAAGTGCAGGGATTTCCAGAAATACCAGAAATTGATGATGGAATTATGCAAGTCCTCAAGCTCAGCTATGATCATCTTCCGTCGCAGTTAAAACATTGTTTTGCATATTGTGCGTTGTTCCCAAAAGATTTTGTCTTTGATAAACAAACAATGATACAACTCTGGATGGCACAAGGCTTTATTGACTCATTGGAGGGGAACGAGGACCTAGAAGAGACCGGGGATAGTTATGTCTCAGAACTACTGAGTAGGTCCTTCCTCGAAGTTGAAGCGGTCGATGATTACACTGGTGAGGTGAAAATGTTCAAGATACACAATCTCATGCACGATCTTGCCTTGAAAGTCGCAGGAGGCGAGTTGGAGATGATTAATCGTAATGAAGACTGGATCAGTGGAGGAATTCGACACGCATCATTTGTTTCACAATCGTTCCCACTACAGAAAGTGATGTCTCTACTCGAAGCAACCAAACTACGAACATTTCTCTTTTTGAAAAGTAGAACATCTGTACAGAACTTATCCCCAAAAGAATATAATAAGTTCCTCTCCAAGTTAACGCATTGTCGAGCATTGGATTTGGGCTTTGCGGATTTTTATGTTACTCCTTCTTTGGGGAGTCAGTTGACGCACATAAGATTTCTTGATGTTTCTGAAAACCAATCCCTTGAGAGTTTGCCGAATTCAATGACGGATTTGTTGAACTTGCAGACTCTTAAACTCTCTGGTTGCAAGAATCTTTAAACACTTCCAAGAGATTTGAGGAAATTGGTCAACCTTAGACACCTCTTAATTGATGGGTGTGACTCACTCAGCCACATGCCACGTGGGTTGAACCACTTGTCTTCGCTTCGGACTTTATCCCAATTCATCGTACAAAAGATAGACCACAAAGTACAAGGTGGTGTGGGGGAAGTAGATGAATTGGGAGGGTTAGATAAATTAGCCGGGTCCATTACTCTTGAAAAGTTGGAGTTCCTTCAACCAGCACCGAACAAAGGTCACTTGAAGGGAAAACAACGTCTCCGTTCCTTGGTGTTGAAGTGGTCGAGGAAGCAGCAATATAACAAAAGCGAGAGCGATGAATTGATCGTGTGGGAGAACCTTAGACCGCACCCAAATTTGACTTATTTGACCATATCCTCTTGTATGAGTAGGAGTCCGCCAAGCTGGCTTGCCTCTATCAGCAATCTTGTTGTGCTCACACTCGAAGAATGTAGAGGATGGAAGTATCTGCCACCCCTCAGTGAACTCCCTTCCCTAATGGCATTGACTCTCTTGTTCTTAAATGCGTTGGAGTTCGTTCAAGAGATAAGTGACCTGGCGCAATCTAATACTACACGCCCCTTCTTCCCATCTCTGGAGAGACTATCCCTCCTCGACTGTTGCAACCTAAAAGGATGGTGGGGAAGAAGGCAACTGGTGACGACAAATCAGGATCATCCACCGTACGATTCAGAATCATCATTCCCAAAACTTTCGGCCGTGGAAATACGGGGTTGTCCCCACCTGAATTCTATGCCACTGTTTCCCTGGATAGAAAACTTGTATACAGATGGAGATAACACGAAGTTGTTGGAACAACAAATGATGGCCGTTCAAGATTGTCCATCAAAAGCACCAGTGGAATCCACATTCATTCCTTTCTCTAGATTAAAGAATCTAAATTTTGTTGCTGTGGGTGATCTGGAGCACTCAATGCTCGAGACTTTACTTCCGGTGCTTAATAATCTCGAGTCCATGAGCCTCAATGATTGCCCCAAACTAAAGAGTCTCTCTCGTGGCATGTGGTACCTGTCCTCACTCCAGCACCTCGTTATTGGGGCTTGTGAAGAACTCGATTTGTCGAGCCACGACGACGAGCATGGCACCCAGTGGCGATCCCTCGTGAAACTCCGCGTTCTTAGATTCAGACGACTTCCAAAACTGGTTGCGTTACCCGAGGGGATTCAAAATGTCACCTCTCTACAATTTCTCAAGCTTGAAGGCTGTGAGAATCTGACGAGTTTGCCAGAATGGATTGGCAATTTCTCTTCACTCCAAGAGCTTGAAATTATTGATTGCCCGGGTTTAATGTGTTTGCCTTATGGAATGCGCCGCCTCACCTCCTTGAAGAAATTGACTATCGTTCGGTGTCCCACTTTAGAAGAGAGTTGCCAAACTGAAAGCGGTGCAGATTGGGAAAAGGTGTTGAAAGGGGTATGTGTTTTCTTCTCCGAAACAAAGCAACTTGGGAAGACACTGGATTGGATTGAAACTGATGAGGACTTCCCTTTAGAGTCGCATCTGAGTGAGGCAGCTGCTGCTATTGTGAGGAGGAGGACGACTCACTCTTTTGCGTGCGAGGAAGAAATTGTTGGTAGAGAAGAGGACAAGAAGAAGATTATCGCGCATTTGTTTGATTCCTCTTCCGGAGAGAGTGTTTCGGTTGTTTACATCGTCGGTTTAGGAGGAATTGGAAAAACAGCGGTTGCTCGGCTAATATTCAACGATGACAAGGTCAATGACTGTTTCCAGCTTAAGATGTGGGTGTGTGTATCTGACGTCTTTGATGAGGATTTGATAATCAAAGAAATACTGAAATCTGCCCAAGAAGAGTGGCAAGGGGATCTTGAGATGAGAAATCTTCAAGACATTGAGAATAAATCTAAGGACCAGTTGCAGAGGCTCCTTAATAAGGTACTACACGGGAAGAAATACTTGCTTGTTTTGGATGACTTGTGGAATGAAGATGGCCAAAGATGGTTAGAGCTCCAATGTTTGTTGATGGGTAGTTCGTGGGGGAGCAAAATACTCGTAACCACACGCAATCAGTCAGTCATGCAGGCTACAAATATGAAATCTGTTATCCATGATCTACATGGCTTATCTGAAGATAAGTCGTGGAACTTGTTCAAGATAATGGCTTTTGAAGATGGGGAAGAATCATTACATCCGAGACTGGAGGAGATAGGCCAAGATATAGTTAAAAAATGCTATGGTATTCCCCTTGCTATCAAAATTATAGGCAGCTTTTTATCCACCAAAAACGAAAAGGAGTGGCTCTATTTCAGAGAGCATGAACTTTCAAAAATAGATAACTTGGACCACGGAATTATGGAAGTCCTCAAACTCAGCTACGATCATCTTCCATCGCAGTTAAAGCGTTGTTTTGCATATTGTGCGTTGTTTCCAAAAGATTATGTCATTGATAAACATAAAATGATACAACTTTGGATGACAGAAGGCTTAATTGAGTCATTAGACGAGAATCAGGACCTAGAAGAGATTGGGGATAGTTATGTCTCGGACCTACTGTATAGGTCATTCCTTGAAGTTGAAGAGGTTGATTATTACACGGGTGAGGTGGAAATGTTCAAGATGCACGATCTCATGCACGATCTTGCCTTGAAAGTCGCAGGAGAGGAGTGCAAGATGGTTGATCTCAATGAAGGCAACATGGAGGGAGAAGTTAAACATGCATCACTTGCACGTATGTTGCTGGAGAAAAAATATTGAAGTCCTTGGGGAGAGTAGGGTAGGTTCACCCTGTTTCAATTACATGCTCATACTCACTTTTCTTTTCTTTTTTCGTAATGTTTTTTTTCCCTTTTTTAGCCTTTTCAATATAAGGTGGGTAGGGATTCCAGTAGTTATGAGCTCAATACCGTGCCAACGGTAATGGCAACAATTGATTGACCATCCAGCCATGGATTAGACTTTCAATATTTCTAAAGCTCACAACTCACCTCCAATCAATTATTGTATGCCGAGAAGCAATAACGGCGCAACCACCAGGATCGAAGACGTGCTTGTACGACGTGCAGGATTTGCTCAACCATGTCGCAACCCGAGATCTAAGGCACAAGGTCACTTCTGGCAACAAGGTGTCGAAAGAGGTACGCATTTTCTTCTCCAAATCAAATCAGCTTTCACACCTCATCGAAGTGGTTAATAAGACCAAGAATGGTTAATCTCAATGACGGCGGCATCAGTGGAGGAATTCGATATGCATCATTTGCTTCACAATCGAGTGACTGTAATTGAAGCGACCAATCTACGAAGATTTCTCCGTTTGAAGAGCCGAACATCTGTACAGAACTTGTCCCCGAATTAATTTCATTGGATTTTCTCCGAGTTTAGTCATTGTCGAGGGTCGGTGTTGTGCTATGCAGATTTTTGTGTCTTTCCTTCCTTGGAAAATCGGTCGAAGCACATAAGATTTTTTTTGATGTTTCGAAAAACCAAACCATCAAGTGTTTGTCGGATTCAATCACGGATTTGCTGAACTTGTAGACTCTAAAAGTCTCTGGTTGCAAAAAGCTTAAAACACTTCCAAGTGATTTAGGAACCTGGTCAACCTCAGACCCCGGCAATTTTGTATAGAAAATAAAGGAGGTTAAAGACATCGCATGTTGGCCCTTGATTTTGTAAGGTAATCTAGTGAAATAGTTTTCTTTTATTGTCCTATTCTTTGCACTAGACTTTTCATTTTTTTCACAGGAAAGTTATAAATTTTTTGCATTATTTTGTGGGATATGGCTCATTTATGTTACACAATTATAAATAAATTTAGTTATTTTCCCCAAGGCTCATATATGTCAGTGTCACACAATTCTCAATAAATTTAGTTATTTTGGGGAATATTCATTCAACCATTTCCAATAAATTTTTTTTGATGTCGTGGTCGTGGTCGTGGTCATTGTCATCGTTTAGATCTATAAGTATCAAGCCGACTGTCTATCTAATATTAGTTTGTATTAATCTCAATATATGATTAAACTTTTTTGACGATGCCGCTGCCGCTGCCGCACACTTCCACTGTCGAACACAAACACGCCAGCAAGGGCCGTGGCCCCACGCAGCAGAGCCGTCTAATGGCCGCCGGTGGTGGCGACGACCGTTGCGCCGAGGGTGGTGGCCCACGTGAAAGAAGCACGAAGTGAGAAAGAAAGTGAAGCCAACTGACCGGCGACCGAGCGAGAGGGAGCGACATCACCAAATTTGGGCATGAGATGGGGAGATTTACACGAAGTGAATCTATCCTTGCTTTCCATCATTCTCAGCTAGTTTTCTTTGATTTTGTCCCTCATCTCCTGTGCAACGATGGCAACAATGCTTGAGCTTGAGTTTCCGATCAAAAATCTCATCTCCATTCCAACGTTCTCAAACTGGTTTGGGCACAGGGAAAAGAGAAAAGAAAAAGAAGAAAACAAGAAAAAAAATGGCCTCAATAAATGATAACAAGAAAAAGATGGCCTAAAAAAAAATGCCCTGTCTTGGCTTTGAAAATGTCACGTGAATCGTTCATGCTCGCCGGCCGGCAAACATTCATATGACGGGGCCAGCCAGAGAGCTCGGGACTGTATATGAGAGTTAGTTGATCATTTCAGAGTTTTATTTGAGATAAGATTCATTTTGAGCCATCTTCTTAGAAAGTAGTTTCAGTTAATGTCCTTATTTAGAAATTTTCGATAACCTTAAGTGAAACTACGGGCGGTGCAGTCGTTTTATTCTACAGAGATTAATAATTCGAGGGGAGACTATTTTCACACCCCATTTAGCTTAAGTCACATTCTTTTAAGAAAATTGACCAAAATGGCCTTCAATAACATGAATATCTAGCCAAATATTTATTCAACTTGCCTGTCTAGTCTCCTCACTTATTTTAAGTTTACAAACAATTGCTTTTATGTATAATTCTCTTATGTTAAATGGTGTTTTGGTCTAATCTGTATTTCTATTGCTTTTTTTTATTTTATCGA